AGCTCTAGTTTCAATCGTCCTCATTTTATTCAGTCAGACTTGTCAAATATAGATGCCCATGGGAGAGTGAGCAAGGGGAGATAACATGCCCATAACATGCCCAAAAATATCCTGCATAGACTCAAACTGCGATCAGCTGAAATATGAGCACACAAAGAGCGAGAGGGAAAAAGAAAAGTAAATAGGCTTAGGCTAGTTAGTATTTTTTCTCTCACAAAAGTTGGCACGGATCATATGCCATCTTTCGTGGAGGAGGAAACATCAAACATCAAAGCGCGCACGCGGGGAACAGCGGGACTAGTCTCGTTGTTGAAGTCCCGATGTTCCCCCACTTCTATAGGCGGGGGAACATCGGACCCGGGGAACATCGGGACTTTTTAATACGCGAAGTACTGATGTTCCCCGGGTCCGATGTTCCCCCGCCTATAGAAGTGGGGGAACATCGGACCCGGGGAACATCGGACCCGGGGAACATCGGTACGCACCCCTTAAATCCCCCCCACCCCCCTCACAAAAAGCTGATATGTATCTAAATTAGGGTTGTCAAAATTATCGCGTTAACACACGTTAATAAACTTTTTTCATTAATCACGTTAAAAAAATTCACGCATGCGCCGAATGCATCGCATTGACGTTGCATTTAATACAAAGGTGGTTTGTTCAGACAATCAAAGTTTGAAAAATAATAATAGAGTATTTCTAGAATCTTGGTTAAAGGTGATATTGGATCATTTCTGATAACACACTAACGCACCACGGTCCACTGGTTGAAAACACGGATGTAGAGACATTTTATGAAATCTTTTATGACATGTTTCTCTTCCAAATAGATAAATTAGAAACAATTAGGACAATTATGTCTTTGATACAACTGTTGGTAGTTTATCTGAGACATGATTGGTGCAAGTACGTTAGTACACGTACAATAATAGTCTTTTCTCCACATGAACGTGAAACAAAGGTGAAGTATTAAAGTTTGAAATGAATTTACATTTTTAATGAATCCGAACTGGCTTTACTGAAAAAGGGAAAACATTTATAACACGTGCACTAGTTTGAAAGTAACAATAAGAGCTCATTAAACTTTAGGGGACACAGTCTGTGAGAAGCCCGAGTAAAGACCACGTGGTTTAAACATTAAAGTTTGAAATGGATCCTTTTAGGAAAAAATATCTTAAAGCTCTGCATATTCTGCAGGCTCTGAAAGTTGCAACAATAAAATAACTCATGAGACAATTGTAATTGGACATGGAAAAATATAACAAAGTTAAATTACAGGCCTTCTGTGTTGTCTATATGTTTGTGTGTGTTATATGTTTGTGTATGTTATATGTTTGTGTATGTTATATGTTTGTGCGTCATGTCAAATACACTACGCTGACCTTAACAAACTCTGGACCAAAATACTAACGTGAGGAGTCGGTGTGTGGCCAATGAGTGAGTTGTGAGTGAGTTGTGAGTGAGTTGTGAGTGAGTTGTGAGTGAGTTGTGAGTGAGTTGTGAGTGAGTTGTGAGTGTGTTGTGAGTGTGTTGTGAGTGTGTTGTGAGTGTGTTGTGAGTGTATTGTGAATGAGGAGTGGTGTAAGAAGAATGGAATAACAAATGTTTTTCTTTTATGTTTTAATGTGATCATGGAATAATTATTTTTGTCAACAGCATACGGTGTAAGTACTAGAGATTCAAAGATAACAAGCTTTATTGAACAGGTGCAAAAGTGAGAGTACTCTGGTGAAAGTACTCTGCTGAAAGTACTCTGAGATGAGTACCTTGCTGAAGGTACTGGGAGTCCCTCCCTCTGCTGCTCGTCCTGACAGTGACTCAGTCCAGCCGCAGTGAACGGTCATTGGGCGGAGGACAACTTTGGTTTGTAACTCACATTTAGTGGAGTATAAAATTAGAAACATACATTTTGTTAAGTCTGTATTTGGCTACAGCCTCTGCCCTGATGTCACACACCGTCTGTCAATGCAGTTATGTTTTGTCCAATTGGAATGATTGACAGGCCGCACCATGCCAGGGAAGTGGGCATTTTTTGTGTTCTAATGTTTCTTTTTCAGATAAAAGATAAACTACACCTGCTTCAGGGATGACAGTAGTATGAAACATGAGAAGGAAATGAGCCTCTTCTTTGGCATCACAGCCCACAATACGAATTGAGGACGATCCGGGAGGAAACAACTGGAGATAATTGGAACAGTAATCTACACACACACACACGAATACATTTACACTTGGCCCACGACCAAGAGAGGGAGTATTGTAATGTTATTGTCATGAGGTGGTCATGGTCCTTAACCTTCTAACATTAGAAAGAAGTGTAAAACATATATTTACAAGAACAAATAAATAATGGAAAGGGCACCCTAAAAGCAAAATGGGAAATTATTAATTAATTTTCGGAGTTGCCAAAATAAAATAAAAATCTGTATTTGTTCCACAGTGGGTCATTCTAATTTTATTGTTGTGCAAATTCAAAAGGAGAAATAATAGCGCTTATAATGCACACATCAAACAGATCTACTCTTTAAGATAATAGATCATATAATAATAAGATAATAATAGAATAGAATGAAATAGTCTGGAGCTATAGGTTAAAGTGTCGCTAAGAAGACGAGTCAGAATAAACAATAGTAATAATAGTTAGACTAGTGAATAATCAAAATAGTTCTATTGTGAAAATAAGTATCAATAATGTCAAATTGTTCTAATAACTAAAGTAAAAAGGAATCAAATGGAGTCAGATTTTAGATGTTTCTGTTTTCCACATCTGTAGGATCTAGTGCAGATGTGTTTATAGAGAGTAGTATTAAAATGCAGACATAGAACGACAGGGTTTAACAAAATTTTAAATCTAAAAATATCTCAAATATAACATTGCTCTTGATGCAGCCTCTGAGCTGCTCCATTGGAGAACAGGTTAAATGTTATTGTTTATTACAAACAGCTGATGTATTCACACATATTAGGTTTTGGACAACTCTTTAAACAGTTATAAACAGCGGACAGAAGCCATGAATGTGCTTTTGTGTATTAAATAATTAATTTCATAGCCATATAATCGTAGATAACGTTTTTAAATAGTTCTCTTCTTCCCGCTCCCTTTCAGGCAACTTGATTTAGATTTATGTCTTTTATATTTGAGAACTACTGTGTTGTTTTTGGAATTGTCTGAAATACAACACATAAAATAGTGATTTGCAGAACAAGAACCAGCCAATGAACAATCATCTATTGCCGATGCTATTGCTACAACTAGAACCACAACTGTGACCAAATGCAATAAATGTTAAGTGTTCAGTCTGGCAGACAAAAAGGTTGACTTTTAGTCTGGGAGACTGAGCAACTGTTAAAATGGTTTAAAATGATAAAGTATGAGTATTTTAGCGTTTTAGTAGATGTTAAATAGTAGAAAAAGTAGAATTTGATCATTGTACATAAACACACTTCAACGTAAGAGTTAAAATGGTACCATACATTGTGATCCTTCTGATAGAGAAGCTAAACTGTTAGAATCAGAATTATTTTACAGCCATTGAAAGTGACAGAAGTCACAAATTAGAAATATGCCTTGGCTCAAGCTGCAACCGAGTTTTTAGAGTCACAATAGAGAAATAGATAAATGCATCAACCATAGATGCTTTCAAAAATAGAGATTATTTTTAGCCAGTGCTAATATCAAACGGTAAAAGGACCATTTCCTTCATAATATGTCCAAAAGTATTTACTTCAAAGGTAAATAAAGTTCATTACAGTTTATGCACAGTTTTATTAGATACTTGTCAAATTCACTTGTTTCAAACATCTGTGAATGTTGACAATGCAAAAAGTTAATGAAATAGACTAATGAGATAGATTAGAACCAACAGAGATTCAAAAACATTTAAAAGCATTTTGATGTATTTGGGTATAGCACAAAAGTAGATATTCAGATATTTTTGAGAATTCTAAAAGCTGTCGATTTGTCAGCACAGATTAGAGAATCGAATACCATTGTAGAGTAACTGACCCCAAAAAAAAAACCTGCTAAAAATAGATTACCCCTTGTATGGATAATACTAATTTGATTAATGATGTACATTCATCCCAAACTGTCTGAGGGGAGACAGTAAGTGTAGGTCCCCTGGCACTGCCAACCACCACGGTGGCCGCCATCTTGTGTCCAGGGTTTTCAAAAAATTACTCTTATTCACGCATATTCTTATGCGCTACGTTTCAACTTAAACACTCCTATTGAGTGTCCTATTTTATATGCACAGGCTCCGACCCCCACTCTTGTTGAGCCCAAAAAATAAATCATCCTTCCATCAATTCCTTCCTTCCATCCACCCATCCATCCACCCATCCATCCGTTTTACACTCAGCCAACTTCAGCTCAGTCAGATGTCAATCCTTGTGGACGTTTCTCAATCAAAGTTCAGAACAGAATCTAGTCACAACAACAATCCGTCTGGTTTGAACTAAAGTGTCAGAGAGAGTCTGTACATTTCAATTCCATTTATTTTTGCATCGCCCTAAACCACAGCAGTCGTTATCTCGGAGGACTTTACAAAGCTGTAAATTCGTCAACACCAGTTCAAAGAATCAAACAGTTCAAAAACAGGAAACGCTAAACAAGGAGCAGATGACCAATGTCCATAAATGTTCATACATTTTATTGAATATTGGCAAAGGAATCGGTAAAAGAAAAACTCTAAAAACCAAGTGAAGATGATGTTCCGGAATTCTGGTAGCCGGAGTAACCAAATTCCAGAATCGTAGAACACAGCGACGTTGCTACGGAAACTTTTCAGTTCTCATGACATCTCAAAGGTTGCCGTAGCAACCTTTGACTCAAGTGGACATGAGTCTAGGTGGAAAGGCCCTGTGTGGCAAGGTTTCGGGGCACTGGAGGAAATCAGGTTAAGAGACTGTTTTGAGCATGAGAAGTTAGTGTTTGTTCTGATGGAGTAAATTGTCAGTTATAAAAAGTTTTCTAATTTGCACTTAGCCTGATTAAGAATATGGAGTGGTCAGATGACAGGTTGACCAGGGAAGAGGTTGAGAGAGCGGTGACGGAGGTAACAGATATACTCCTTAAAGTGTTGAGGGAGCAGCAGATCAGAGACCAGCGATCGGAGCCAGAGCCTCAGGTGAGTACAGAGGAGGCCAGCGCAGTGGAAAACCAAGGAGGTTTCTGGTCATCCTTCAAGTCCGACGCAAAGAAAGCTCTTGTGGAAGTCCCTGTTGTAGCGCTTGGATATGGCTTGTACTGTCTGGCACGTCAACCTCGCAGGGCTTTAATCGCCGAAGAAGATGAAAGCATTCAGGTGTTGCAGGATCAGCAGCAGATCAGAGACCAGCAGCAGATCAGAGACCAGCGATCGGAGCCAGAGCCTCAGGTGAGTACAGAGGAGGCCAGCGCAGTGGAAAACCAAGGAGGTTTCTGGTCATCCTTCAAGTCCGGCGCAAAGAAAGCTCTTTGGGCAGTCCCTGTTGTAGCGATTGGATATGGCTTGTACTGTCTGGCACGTTAAGGAGCCAGACAGTCACCGACCAAGCACCGTTAAACGGTCATGGTCGGTAGATGTGGTGTGTGTGTGTGTGTGTGAGAGAAATGGTCATGGGGCTGTCTACTCTGTACATTTTCCCCATTGACCCATCTGTGTCAGATACTGTTCCCAAATGTGTCTTTTAACAGATTTGGGAACAGTAACTATCTGACAGAGTTGGATCTTGGGAGAATTTGCGCAGAGGGGTCGGCCCAAGACCTTCTGACTGTAGGGAAAAGTGCTTTTGGACTTCATCCTATAGTTTCTCTTGCTCTGTATGCTTCTGGCCATTTACCCAACTTGCCCAATTTAAGGGTCAAGGTCGGTACATGTGTGTGTGTGTGTGTGTGTGTGTGTGTGTGTGAGTGAGAAATAGTCATAGGGGCTGTCTTCTCTGTACATGACATGTTAATGACTTATCAACCAAGCTGAGCACTGCGCTCGCAAAAGCCCAGACGTCTGGTGGTCCCTAACGTTTCAAAAGCTCTGTCGGCAGCAGAGCATTTAGCTCCAAGCTCCTTTACTGTGGAATCAGCTCCCCACGCACGTTAAGGAAGCAGACACTGTCTCTACATTTGTTGGAGCTATTTTGCCTTCTTTTGTTTTGCTGCCTCCTGCCACTGTGTGGCGCCACTTCGAATGGTATGCTCTATATAAGTGGGACACTAATTATGTACAGGTGTTGTAGTGTGGAGGCAAACATCTTTTTACCGTCGTCTGTCACCTTGGTTATAGTATTGAATAGTGTATTTGGATCGCAATAAACGTTTGTGGAACACAATATTTCTGTCTATTTCATGGTGAGAGACACGCGTCCGAGACGCCAACACACGCTACATCCAGCGGGCCTTGCATAGGGCAAGTTCAAAAACATAATATCTCAATACTCAAAAACTCATAAACTCCGTACTTCAAAAAACTCAGAACTCGGAATACTTCAAAAACTCAGAAACTCATAAACATTTTCAGATCTTTCAGAATTGTAAAAAGATGGTCTCAGGTACCGTCTGGACGAGATGTCCAAGTGCTGATCCGATGATTCTGTGATGGCAAGCCTGCCTAGCCTCGGGACGCCAACTCACCACCTCCTGCTGCTCTATTCAATTAACCTGCAGGAGGAGCGGGCTCCCACCCGCACCGACGCCCAATGACGCAAAATTACTGTATCCCCTGGGATGGACTGGGAAAAAAAAGGCCCGGGCTATTTTTTGCCTTCTTGGCGGCCCAGGCATGTTTTTTACGTTTTTTACAGTTTGTTTTATACCAGGCGTCTTCAACTCAAAAGTGTTCAAAAGTAGCCAAAAACAATATCTGTCTGGTGTCGCACAAAAAAAAACTGCCTTTATAAGGCTTATATGAAGGTAACCACAGGGCTAGCAGCCGTATTAGCTACATGAGCTTAATATCTAAATGACAATAGTAAAGGCTACAAATGCATACTAAGTCATTCTATGGATTTTCATATGTGTATTTTCACTGCTGCGTTGTGTGTCCTGGAGAGGAATGACGCACCAAGTGTACGACTCTGGTGTAACTTTAACTTCCATTTTTTGTCTTCATGCAATTGTTGAAATTACAGTAAATAAATTGCTTTTTGGATCAGAGTTCACATCACAGGCTGGAAGGTTTGATGGAGCTGAATGTCCTTAATGGCCTTTTTCTTTTCACCGTTTTTGCGAAGGTATTTGAAGTCTGAAAAATAGGTGCTTGAATTTGCGATGAATGAATCCTTCTCGTGATCACCGGAACGGTTGTTTAGCGCATCATTGTTCCTCGTGTTGTAACAAAACTTCTCTATACAAAACTGAAGCAGTCAGTCCTCATTGACTGAAAGCAAATGTTCATACTGTATTCTTAGTACTGACTATATTATCGACTCTTTTCTTTTTAGACTTTGGGGTTCCTGGCACATGCGGTTGTTTTACAGCAGCAGCGCCTAACGCCGGGCCGCTTCACCGGTATGACGCACTACTGTTGCACAGAAATGTCGACATTGAATATTCTTAAGCACATTTTTGCAGCATTTAAAAACGGTTAAGAATTGTGTTTTCATCCACAGAAACCACATTAATACTAGAAATAAATATAGCCCTCCTACTCCATTTTTCAGACATTTTTTAAAAGACTCCAGCCGCAGGTTGCCGACCGTGTTTATACAGCATGGAAGAAAATTCTAGTGGATCAGGATATGTGCAGTTTAACACAATTGAAATACAGTGCAATTGTCGACATTTTCAAGTGAGTTATAAAAACTGTTTCAGAGTGATGGTAGGTTGGCACAGACAACACTATTGTTTATTACAGGGAGAGAATGGTCAAAAAAGTCTGAAAGTTTCATAATGCCAGCAATTGTTGTCACTAAATCTGTTTGATTGGTTCACAACATTTACTACATGGGCTCCAAATTTTAACTTTTAATGCAATGGAAAATTTTAGGTACCCTGAGCTTTAATTTAGTCGCTCTTCGAGGAGGACGAGGGGAGACGAGGCGGACTGTTTCCTGCAGCGTGTATTTATTGGGTGCACAGATTTACACAATAAGAAAATGCATTGGTCCTGTGCGCGTTTTTGGTCTTGGGTAGAGGTGTCACGTTGAGGCTGCGGCGCTCACCGTGTTGTGTTGTGTGCGGATCTCGTGGTTCCCGCGTCCAGATCAGAGCCGCGGATGCTTGAACCGCTCATTACAAAGCGTCGCGGGCGTGTGGGTCGTAAGTAGGCGGATGATGGAGGGGGAGGCCGCAGCTGTCTCGGAACACGTGCGCGCCGCTGAGGGTGGCGGAATCCGTTTTAGTTATACAGCAGTTGGCCTCGGACATGCGGCGCCCCCCCTCAAAATTTTTCACAAACAAGTTTTTTGGCATGGAAGCAGACAGAACGGCCCAACAAAATATGGGCATCTGCCCTATCGGCATTGCGTGATGCCCGATGGCCAGTCCAGCCCTGTGTTCACCCTTGTCCCTTTTGCATCTTGCATCTGTATCGGTCTGTATGTCTGAATCTCTACATCCTGATGTCTATTGTCTCTTGTTTTGCATCTCCTGGGAGGTCAGTCTGATTGTCTCTCCCAGAGATGGCGCCTCGCTCCGGATGCCCGTCTCAAACTGTGACCCCCTCCATCTTTTGTGGGCGTGACTTTCTTTCAAGTGTTGTCTATGTAACAGGAACTGCTCTGGCCCGCGCCAGAGCTGATGTAGCTGCTTTGTGTATGTGAGCTCTGCCGCACGTGTGTTACAATAAACTTACGCTCCTGATTAAGAAATACCTTTTGAGCCCTTTTCCTTAATTGGAGTAGATATTTCAATGACAATTTGGCGTTGCTGACATGTCTTGCCTGGATCTTTTCGGCGGGGCGAGCGGCGTGTTGCGCTGTTGCGGGAAGGACGGCTGCGTTTGGCCGACCTGGACAACACCAGCCTCTGCTTCTATTTGGAGACAAAGGTTGAGGGGCTGCGCTCGTTCCGGCGCATGAAAGGAATCTTTGCCTCACAAGACCAAAAAGAACCTGATTGGTGAGTTTGTTCTTTTCTTTTGCGTAACAAGCCCAGGGCAGCCTTTAAGTGTACACCGGGGATTTGATTTATTTACGTATTTTTGGGTATTTATTCATTGCCTCTAGCATAGGACTGTCGTGCGGGATTTTTTTGGGCGTATTTTGTTCTAGATTGAAGCTAGCGGCTGCGTGTTAGTATCGCTTCAGTAAGGACCTGAAGATATCAGTCTTGTAGGCCTTCAGCAGGCCCGTCCGGTCCATTCAAGATCGCTGCGGCTCGTTGGTTGAACCAGCGGTGGGGGAACGGATCGCTCCAGTGTGTGAGAGCAGGGGAGAGGACTTAAAACGGGTTAGGGTCCATTGTTCTGTACGAGAAAATGGGGGAGGAAAAATCAATTAGAGAGCCACACCGGGGGGAATGTTGACGTTTCCCCGTTACAATGGCAATGGGAAATACGGGTTCGGATCTAAAAGCTATGGGTGCTTGCCTTATATGCGTGCAGTTTTTTTGGCTTTTTCGAATGGAGGCTCGATGGTCTCTGAATCAATTATCGCATCTTGCGTGATCATTTAGAAGGAAGAAGGGAAAAAATATTACTTGGTTTTAGAATAGCACGGCAAAAGCCGTTAGAGAAAGTAATATGCTCAAAAACAATAGCTCCTCCGCTTTTCACCGAGCGGAGAACACACAGTCGGACACACTGGCGGACACACTCACACACACACCACACATCCCACACCCCACCCACCCTACGCCTCTCTCACCTATTAACCCTTTCACACAAAAGGAGCAGAACTCCATGCTAAGTACGCGCCCAAACAAGGCGTTGGGTTTTAAAAAAAATGAGCAGATACTGTTGATCCCCTTTTCCTCTCACTGTCCAGGTCTGTCGGCGCTTTCCTCCGCGTCTGATCCTCTGCCTCAAAGCCCCAAGCCACCATGCCCCACGCCCAACCACGGGCGGCGCTCGCACCAGCTGAGACCCAGTCGAGAAGTGGGCCCAACCGGGAGCAGAAGAAGAAGCGGCGGAAGCAGATCACGCTAGGAAACCGCAGAAGTAAAGAAGCGGCGGATAAGCAGATATGTGAGACACCGACAACTGCTTTGGAGGCCAGAGACAAACTGCTACATAATCCCGTGACTGTTTGGGCCCCCAGGACGTGAGGCGGCCGGAGCGTTGAAAACACAAACGGCACCCGCTGTATCACCCCGTTGAAAGTTGCGCCCCGCACCTCAAACAGAAGAAGCCATTGGGACCGGCCACGTTGGCTATTAAAACCAACCATCATGGACTCAGAGCTAAAATTATTTGACGCTTTGGCTACCTGGGCATCCTGCGGCCTTTGAGAATTCCCACAGCCGGCAGGAAAAGACTGTTGTGCTCGACATATGTGGTCGAAGGACTCGTCACCGGAGGAGGCGTTAATGGCATGAGGATGTCCCGCTCAAGCTCAACGGGGCCAGAAGGACGGCAGAGGCTGGTGCGAGGAGGAA